ATACGTTTTTTTCGAACTGAATAAGCAGTTTGAGAACTAAAAAAAAATTAATTAATTGTATGGTTTTGTTTTTAATAAACTAAACAAACTTTTGACTATCTTCTAATCGTTTTCGACGACTTAAATTATTTACAGCTTGTCGAAGAAAAAATGGTAATATATCTAATGGTATAACCATACCATCAATCAATGGAATACTAGCACAAGCTGATTGCATTCTAAACAATGGAAAAGATATAGTTTATTTAGAGAAAAATTTTTACACTTACCGTTGCGCATTAGAATTGAGTAAAATACGAAATAAACGATTTTTTAATGGATAAATACCAATTATTGAAATATCTCGACTTTTTGATTGTTGTTCTTGAACTATAATGATAATGCAAATTAAGAGAAAATCTAAACTCGATTTTTCATTAAGAAATACGATCTTTATCAAGTATCTAAAACAATATCTTAACCTTTTACTCCCTACAGCGGTTTAAGAAAAGTCACTAATTAAATAATCTTATATACAAAGGATTAGCCTGTCTTACACGCTAATGATACGATCATATCAATTAGATACTTTGCTTCTTGCATAGAGTGATTTTTAGTTATTCCAATGACTATGTCATAGAAAAAGGGAATCGACAGACATGAGTAGTCCTGAATATTTTGTTCGTTCATGACAGCATAGATGGAACCGGCACCGGCAACCGGCCGGTCTAACAGTCTATCACTGGTCTTACCAATCTGTTACCGATCATCGAGACACTTGTAACATTCGTATTGGCCCTAATTGATCTTGCTCATTAAATATATAACGAAGTTTTGTTGAAATTTCATTATACAAAAAAAAAAACTTTAATACGTTCGGTATAAACAAATTTATAATTTTTTTGTTTATTTAATCATAGCTAGAAGTGGTAATGGCAGTCCAGTGCTGGTGTCGATTTTAAGTCTATTGTGGAACTTTTTGAACAGAGAAATGATAATTTATGTAGTTGAATGAGGTCTTAAATTCTTAATTAGTTAGCTTCAAATATAAAATTTTTGTTCTTTTATCATCAAAGTATAAGTTCATATCAATCATCAAGATAGAAATCGAAAATAAGAAACAAAAAAGAGAAAAAGTTTCATTTTATAAATATACAAACCAGGTAGAATTGAATCAAGATCATCACGAAATTCTTCAAGCCAAACAATTAATATTCGCATTTCTGAACTTTCATTATCAACTATAAATTCAGAGAAATAAGATAATTAAAATAAAAGTAAACAAGAAAAATAAAAATATTAACTAAGAAAATGATGAGGTAAATAAAAAGCTATTTCAGTTGTTAAATCAACCCAATATAAAATACTATCTTCTCCATCAATTTCAGCAAGAATTTTTGACGTTGGACATTTATTTAATTGAGCAATTGAAACCGTTTTCCAACTTGTTTCAATATTTCCTGTCCATCCACAATGACGTTTGATTTCAACAACTGAACCAAATTGTGAAACCATTGTTAAAAAACATGGATTCAATTGTTCAGGTGTCTCCTATAAATAAATGAAATATATTCTATTAAAGTCTAACAAAGGGAATATTCAAAGATGTTCGTTGGAGCATAGTGCATCCTAAACTATGCCTAATTTTTAGAGTTTCGAGCTGAAAATTTTAATAGCCTATGATCCCTACACTAGTGATTCTGCGCTTCTAAAAGTTACTGGTTAAATCTGAAAAAAACTTTTTCAATTAGAAATTATGAAAATAGATTGAGTCATAATAGAAGATCTAGGGTTTTCTATTGCAAGGAAGGATTAATTGAATTTCGACTGTAGACTCTCGAATTTGTAACAAGACCATAGTTTCCGAATTTTGACGTGAAAATTTGCCCACATAAATACATCAATTAGATTAGCATATCATGCTGACCTAGGAAGCTATGAATGTCCTGAAACAAAAAGTCCAAGTCATTAGCTTTTTGTTGCGGAGATATTGCATTTTTAGGGAACTGTCTAATACAATGCCATGATCCTTCTCAAGAACATCAGAAAAACTGATTTTCGAATTTCAACTTGAGACTTCGCATAGACACAGCACTTAATGAAAGAATAGTTTATTGTGAAAGTTTCAGATCTTTTTAATTTGCTTGTATTCCGAAATAAGACCATCAAATCTGTTAGTGTATATGAGCGATTTTATCATAGTCACATCTTAGCAAAGTTTCAAGTCGAAATTCGAAAATTAATTTTCTTCGTGGTCGTGAGGGGTATTTAAAAAATACCGTACATAAACAGTATCTCCGTACTGATAAACTAAGGGCTCAAACTCTTGTCAGGATTATTTATAGTTCATTAGGGTTTGTATAATACACATAGTCACGATTCGAAAGCAATTAGTCCGCTCCTCGTAAGTCTCTTCGAGATACGGAATTTTTAAAGTATAAACTCTTTTTTATAGACAGTAAATACAGCAAGTACTATTTGAATCCTTCATACCTCGAAAAAATTTAGTCTAAAAATTCTGAAACTTTTCATGCAAGCTAGTCTTTAATTGAAGTGTTTATGTAGACAAAGTTTCAGGTCGAGATTCAAAAAATATGGCAGACTTACAGTAGAAATTCACTAAAAAGAACATTCAAAACACGTCACGACTACGAATACTTTATATAGTAGATATAGTTCACTAAGATCTGCAAATATATTCTATGTCTCGAATCTAAAGCACATGAATATCTATGAATATTCCTTCGTAAAATATTTTTACCATATTTAAAAATGATTCATTAATTGTATATT